TAGGGTACGGTTTATGTTATTCGGATTGCGCTGTCATAACAAATGCCAAACATTTGGGCGTGGTGGCACGCTTGGGTGCAGGCTTACTCCGCACACGCTACCTGTGCCCGATCCCGTCTATGATCTGCTTGACTCTCTCTCTCTCTTAGCACCGCGCACAGGTGGGTGAGGTCAAAGAAACCGCGGTAGATGGAGTGCAAGACTACGGTCACTTACAACTGATCCATGTACGCGTCTCCGTCTTCGAATCACCATCAGGTGGAGTAAATTGTGGACCTCATCTGACTACGACGGTCGAACTGTCTTTTTACGGGCCAAGGTCCAGTTTCCGCGGGTGCTATTCACAGCTGATGAAAGGTTCGGTAGTTTTTTCAAACACTGTATGCAAAAGGCCCGGGCAAGAAACCTGATAATAGAATTAAAATATAGGGGCTGACACCTTGTAGCTTATCTTCTTAGTGTCTGGAAAAGGAAATAGATCAAGGAGCGAATTCAAGATTGGGTTCTCTCGTGCATTCTAACAACATACACCAAACTGAATTCATGCGTGGAAAAACTATGTTGATTAAATCGGTAAACATGAGCGTACAAGTTGGCAGGAACATGGGCTGGTTGTGAAACGGAATGAAAAAACTTCCCTTGGTTTTCGTCATTCCTCGGCCTTGTCGGGGCTCAAATTCGATTTCGACTGTATGAAAAGTTTAGACCAATCAGATGGCAGAATTGGGCGCCCGCTGCGGGGACTTGGCCTTCGGCATATCGGCCGGCAGATCCCATATCAGACGCTGCGCACACGAACCAATAGCACTGCTGAAAGCCACTATTAGAGGAAGTTAATTAAACATACAGTGAGTTGTGCATTTAATTTATCCCTTGATATCGAGTTGTCGTGCAAGGTTCAAACGTCGGATGAATGAACAATTTTTCCATGTGGTCATCTTACTACCATCCTCGTTTACTCGAAATGCGATGCGGAACTGCATACCGAAAAAAGCAACAGAGGTTATGGGGCCGTCCGTTTATTACATATTAGCTGTCTTCAATCAGCCATGCTTAACCATCTGTTTGAGCAGCCGGAGTTTTGAACCCGGCTGCTTTACGTTTGGACGTTGGGTCCAATAACAGACCACTGAACCAAATATGCATTGGTCTGGTGTTTGCGGTCGGCAATACTAGCTATCGCATTAAAGACGTTGACCGATCAGGTCATGAAACATGTGGGTCGCGTTACGCCTTGGTCTCCCCCACATCTACAGTCCCTGCAGTCACTCAGACAACGACCAGTATACAGCAAGACAGAGTACTAGCAGAGACATGAGAGGCTGGGATAGCGATTTCTAGTTTATTAACCACCATCAGCCAGTCATGCCTCACCTCAGGGTTGGAGCACCCTGCATTTAAAGCGCGATCGTACATCCTGGACTAGAATTCTCTACCAATTAAGCCATGACTCGTTGTTCTGTCAATTGCAATATTAGTTATGATGGAAGTACATCTGTCGGCTAATAAACCAGAAGCCACCATCATAAGCTCTCCTGTTTTCGTCGGTAATCGCATTCTACCTTTACTACCAAACGACTTGCGATTGCTTCTGGTGCTCGGGATTGAACCACCAAGCATAACGGGACGAGTAAGTCCCATAGTCTCCTTGGTGAACGCGTTTCCATTGTAAAGTCTTCAGTGATTAGGTTTTGCCGTATCCTCCTTCATTGCATCTTCTGTCGAAGCCGAATCAGCATCGGTCGGCGAAATTTGATCCTATGTAAATTTGAATATTCTCAATCGCAACAGACAGGGGGCGAACTCATGGCTTAGTGACACTTATTGACAGACCTTCACCGACCGGTACTTGAACTCAATTGTGCCGCTCCGTCTTGGGTCTCATTTCGTGGGCCCTGACAGCAGCCGTAACGGCTAGTAGTCTTAGGCAGATAGCATTGCTGTTAGCGGTCGGTGAACCTCCATCCCCGAATGTCAATACCTCCCGACCTAAACCGGCAAGATAACGAATTTGTGACTCGGCGATTAGGCCATTAGAATCTGGTCAAAAGGTCGCGAGTTCGAGGCTCGGATGGTGTTCCACTCGGGGTTGGATATAACTAGCTGACGACGTCTAATAAGCTAGAAATGGTCATTCCAGTCTCCCTTGTCTTCGCCGGCAATATTATCTGCCATGACTTAGTACTGTAAGTGTGGATTCAAATGCCCAGTGACCAAGGTGTTCAGGCTCAAGTTCTCTGCGTTTCCTCCCAAAGTTTGGATTAGACTAGCCTATAATAGAAAATAAGTCTTAAATGATAATTATATTTTCCCCTATTCTCTCGCTAAGATTTTTTTTTAATTCATATCTTGTAACTTATAGGCTATCCTGGACGTTATGAACATAGAACTGAGGGAATTAAACTAACCTTTATGCTTGATTTTGAACTTCACGAAGCTATATCAGGCGAAGTTAACCTCTGTGAAGTTTGCCTTAAGTCGGGTTGGATAATTGTAAGAAACTACTGGTAATGTCTTCTGTTCAGGCCCGCCCAGCTTCCCTGTGGTTTATTGGTAAACATATCGTTTTGG